GTGAAGAGTTGTGTGCTGGTAACCGATAAATGGTCTCTGTACAATTCTCATTTACCATAAATGCGTTTTTTTAATTCCCTGCACTAATTTATGGAGCTTTCGGAGGAATTCCCGTTGGTCCCACGATTCCATGGATTGGGTGGGTGAAGCTGGGGCCCTTTGGGTTGGTTTTGCCCCAGAGCTGGAGCCAAGGCCGTCCTGCTCCCACCCCAACTGCCTCCACAGCTTTCCCAAGCCGGGCACTGTGGTGGGATTGACCCCGGAGCGGGGCTGGAGGCCTTGGCAGAGCTGTGGGGTCAGGAATTCACCCGTGGGACAAAACCCCCTTGGTTCTTTTCTAAAAAGCACAAACTGTGTTTGGGATGGTTTTTGTATTTGGAGTTTTTCATGTACACGGTGTGAGCAAAACTTTGTTCATTTTGATCAAAGTGATCATTCCCATTTTTGTAATAAAAGCAAGGAATTCAGCTGTGCTCTGAGCCTTCTTGGATTGCCTGGGTGGTCGAGCCAGGAGTAGGAACACGTGGTGTTCCGAGGAAGGGCTGTGGCACAGGGATGCCCTGGGAATGCCTGGATCTCGGGGAGCAGAGTGCCTGACACTGGTGTTGATACCTCTGAAGAGGAGTGGGAATGCTGTGGAATTCCACAGGATCCCTGTGGCCCTGCAGCCCTCCCAGGGGAGGGTGGGGGAGCTCAGACACAAAGAAGGGACGGCACTGAGGGTACAAACTGGTTTAGTGGTGTCACTGTACAGAGGGGCAGGGACAGGCTGGAACTGGATCCCCGACTTCCAAGGCCTGTCCCTGGGTTCCCAGCAGCAGAGGGAATTCACTCCTCACTCAATGTCCACCAGCTCCACTTCAAAGAAGAGCTTTGCGTTCGGGGGGATCCTGGGGGGGCACGTTAAGGAAGCCAAAACCACCCCAAATCCTCCAGCTCCCCCATCCCCCCCTGGGCAGGGAGTCACAGCCGCTCTCCCGTGTCCCTGGGATGTCACTGACCTTGGGACATCCTGGATCCAGCACTGGGCTGGATCCTGCACTGCTGCCCAGCACGAGCTGTCAGGGACACGCAGGGCCAGTTCCACAGATGCACCTCCACTAACACACCCTGCTCCTCATTCCCTAAGCCTGGTCTCCAGGTCTGGGAGTCTGTCCTGCTGTGCTGCAGGGGACAACAGTGTCCAGGCAGCCCTTGGGATTACAGGATTCCAGCAGCAGGGAACAACTTCTTCCTCCCAAAGCACTGGGAAAAAGGAACATGAATGTGTAAAACACTGCAGGATCCCCCCTCCATCCCGTACTCCCATTGTATCCCAGAACCAGATTTAACTGCTGTTACCCTACAGGTAACTCCTCCTGCTTCCCCACTCCACTGGTTTGTATCCCTGTCACTAATAAGCATTTGGAAGCTCAGCTGGATTAAAAATGCAGGTGGAAAACAGAAGCAAGTTCTCCCTGCACAAGGTTTAGTTGCAAACAAAAGGACAACCCACCCTCCAAGTGCACTGAATTTCCTCAGAGTGGGAATATTCTGAGCCTGCTGTAATGAGTGAACCCCCCCATTACATCCCTGTCCCAGCACTTCCCCCCCCCCAGCATTCCCAGGTTTCTGTACAAGGATACTTGGCATCGGGCTGCCCCTTCTTCCCGTAGGCCCACTCGGGCTCGATTTCCAGCTGGGCCTTCTCTCCTTTGCTCATGGTCAGCAGGGCTTCATCCCACTGCAAGGACAGCACAGCAGGGAGTCACAACAGCTGCACTTCCCAGCCTTTCCATGTGCTCCCAGGGATTCCCACCAATCCCACACCTCCAGGAGCCCAGGCTGCTCCCAGCCCCGTCCAGCCTGGCCTCGCACAGTGCCAGGGATGGGGCAGCCCAGCCTCCCTGGCAGCCTGGATCAGTGCATCAGTTCCTTCAAGGCTGTTCCAAACCCGGATCCCTCCCCAGGACTCGCTCCCTTCCCAGTGTCCCCACGAGCGGCTCCTGCAGCGCCAGATCCCGGCTCAGGGAGAGGCTCAGGGACACACGGATAAACCTGGACAGCTGCAGCTCCTGCAGTGCTGGACACAGGCCAGGGACACTGCCCCCTTCCCAGTCCCGGCCCTCAGAAAGGCCTTTTTCCTGCTCCTGGAGCAAAGGAGGCTCAGGAGGGTCCTTCTGGCTCTGCAACCCCCTGACAGGAGGGGGGAGCTGAGGGGGTCGGGCTCTGCTCCCAGGGAACAAGGGACAGGAGAGGAATCCCGGCAGCCTCAGAGCAGACTGACAGGAGCAGGAGGCTGGGCTTGTCCCAGGGAAAACAGAGTCTTTTCCACATGCTGCTACCCAGGGGAATGACTCAGGATAATGGGACATCCTGCCCGTGTAAACCCTTGCAAGCTGCATTTTTACGAGGAACAGAACAGCAGCTCAAAAACTGCACCCCGGTCATAAATCACAGGGAAGGAAACTCCTTTGGAATTCTGAGGGAGCTGTCAATGCTGTACTTACACCTCGGATCACTTTTCCTACGCCAACCTTGAAACTCAAGGGCTTGGCTGCTTTTTTCTTCTTTGAGCCTGGAAGAGAGTTTTGTGTTGCTTTGCTTTACCATCACTCCAGCACACACCACACTGCTGTCTACAATTATAAATACATACGAGAAATAAATATACATTCTTATCGTTTTATTATATTATTTTTTTAGTGTTTATGTTATTATAACATAACATTATTTTAATATTCAGCGCTGTGTACCAAAGCCTTCGTTCACTGTTCAAGCTGCACCAAGAGCTAAAGCTGATGAGCATCTTTCAAACCCCAAAGACTCATTTCTGAATTAATAAAGGTGACAGTACAAGTCACAAACACATTAAGGAACCAGAAGTCAATAGGGAACATGAAACAAGTACAAGGAGTCCCAGACAGCATTCCATTGACTCTGGAATACTGTTCCTCTGAGTGTGGGACACTCTGGAAAAGCCTTTCTAGTACTGCAGGATTTCATACTCCTGATCTGTCACAAAAACACCAGAGTACTCAAATCCCTCTCATTCCAGTGCCTCCAGGTTTAAGGATATATTAGAGAAGGACACCAAGATGTTTATTTAGAGAAACTCAGGACACTGCTGGTGCTCGAGTTCATCTCTCCCCTCAAGTATTTTCAGCCCTGATTAACTCCCTGCTTTTCACATTCCCGGGCCTGGAGAATGCCAGAAGGGAGGGCTGGCAGGATGCAGCAGTGTCACTTGACACCAGCCAGTCCTAAAATACTGCCCTGCCTTACCTCATGGAAAATCAGGATCCGGGAGGGGGCTCAGGGACATCCCGGCAGCTCAACAACAAAGCAGTTTGTCAGGAATCCCACAGGGACACTTCCAGAGGCAAACACCTGCCCAGATCTGCTCAAGGAGCCCAGTTAATGCACTCTACGAGCGCCTGCAGCAAACCCCAAACAGTTTCTCTGTGCACCCATCTGTGTATGACCTTACTTGATTGAATATTGGTATCGAAGACTGTCCCGTCCTGCAGCTTTCCCGTGTACCAGCAGTGCACAGTGTCTCCTTTCTTCGGGAAGTTGGTTTTATCACCCTTCTTTAAAATGGATTTTGTATACTTTGGTGGCCCCTGAGGTTGTAAAAATAAGCGTTGTGACTGGTGGGTTAAATAGCTTCAGATCAACTATGTTCGAGATGGAACAAGCACTTAGTTTAAGGCATCAAAGAAGATATGCAGTGAGTGAAGGGTGTGTTCGTGTGTAACTGCAGGGCTGCAATGGATGGGGAAAATGCAGCAGACTAAAGTTAAGGCAGGGTGCAAACACCAGAGCTCTTGCTGTAACCAGGTCTTTGGAGAATCCTGGGTTGGAAGGGATCCACACGGATCATCCAGGCCAATCCCTGGACACCCCAGGACACCCCAAGAGTCACACCCTGTGCCTGAGAGGATCATCCAAATGCTCCTGGAGCTCTGCCAGCCTTAGGGCCGTGCCCACTGCCCTGGGGAGCCTGTTCAGTGCCCCACCACCCTCTGGGGGAAGAACCTTTCCCTGATACCCAGCCTAACCCCTCATCCTGAGACAGGGGACGTGGTTAATTTGGTTTCCCGCACGACAAACACGAGGTGGGAGTGTCGCACAAACCTCCTCCGCAGCCTCCTCAGCCTTCACCGCCTTCCCCTTGGCCTCCTCCGCCTTGGCCGGCTTCGCCTTCTCCGCCGCCTTCTCCGCGCCGTCCGTGCCCTTGAACCGCTGAGTGGGGAGGATGAAGAGCCACATCCATCAACCACCAACACCCACAGGACCACCCCCGGCTCCGTTCCCCCCTCCTCGTCCCCTCACCTGCGTGTGGAAAAGCTGCGTGTAAGCCGCGATGAGCTGCTCCTTATTCGCCGTCTTCGCCACGTTCTTCACCTGCCCCAGCAGCTTGTGCTCCGCCAGGAACTGCCAGACACACGAGTGCCAGCCGTGGAACACACCCCTCTCCAAAGGCGCGCAGTACGCGCTCCAAACTATTTAGATTTCCCCGCGAACTCACCGCCTGCGCCGCGTGCTCCTGCAGGAATTTGATGATCTCCTTCTTGGCCAGCGCCTCGCTCCGCAGCTCCTCCGCGCTCCAGGGCTGCGCCGGACCCGCGGCCGCCGCCATTTTCCCACCCGCCTCCTACTCCTCCTCCGAAGAGGAGGGCTGGGAAGCGACCCAGGAGGGAGGAGGGGAGGGCCGGGATAAACGCCCAGGGGGAAGGGGAGGGCCGGGAGGCGCCTCCAGACCCTCCCCTCGGCCCTCGGGCGGAGGCTTCTGAGGAGGTTTGAGGCGGCCGCGCTGAGGGAGGGACAAAATGGCGCCGCCTCAGGCAAAGGGGGGAACGCCCTGAGGGAGAAGCGAGGCGGGAGGAGCAGCGGGATTTACCTCAGGCTTGGCGGCCGCTCGAGGGGGAAAGGGCGGGCCAGGAACCCGCCGAGGGCGAAGGGGAGGGACGAGAGGCGGCCAAGCCGCCTCCCGTCCCTCCCCTTCGCCCTCGGCGGCGTTTTCAAGCGACGGCGTTGAGGAAGCGACAAAATGGCGGCGGGCGCGCCGCTCCCTGAGGGAGGATGAGCGGCGGGCGGCAGCGCACCTTGCCTCAGGTCTGGCGGGCGCCTGAGGGTAAAACCGAAGAGGAGGCCGCGGACAACGACAGCGACGATGACTTGCTGCTGGCAGCCGCCGCCGCGGCGGACCCCGTGCCCGTGGAGGGTTTCAGCGAGGCGGCGGGATCCATATGGATCTACCCCACCAACCTGCCGGTGCGGCCGTACCAGGAGCGCATGGCGGGCGCCGCGCTGCTGGCCAACACCCTCGTGTGCCTGCCCACGGGGCTGGGCAAGACCTTCGTGGCTGCTGTGGTCATGTATAACTTCTACCGCTGGTTCCCCTCCGGGAAGGTGCTGTTCCTCGCCCCGACCAAGCCGCTGGTGGCTCAGCAGATGGAGGCGTGTGCCCGAGTCATGGGCATCCCGGCGCGGGACATGGCGGAGATGACAGGTACGGGCTACGGCGACATCCTGGAGGGCAGAGTGTGAAGAGATGCAGCGGAGGGGGGGAATAAAGAGATGTTTGAAAGAGTAAACCGTTGGTTTTGCAGTAGTTAAAGCCCCAGGTCGCCCGTGTAAAGGGTGGTGGAGCGCTGCGGTGCAGCCCTGTGGGTCGCAGCCTGCGGGTGTTCACACACAATGTGCTCTGCGTGAAGCTTAAGCCAAAGAATAATGGCTCTTTTTTTCCTGTGTTTTTGCTTTTCCCTCCTCTTTCCCCCTTCCTTTTGTCCTTTCCCACCCCCGCTTCCTTTTCCCTTCCCACATTCCCGTTTATCCCTTCCCCTCCCTCCCCTTTCCCTTTTCCCCTCTTTTTCCTTCTTCCCCATTTTAATAAAGTTTTTGCAGACCCCCCCGAGCTGCAGCTTATTGCTCACTGCAGCAATAGCCTTAAGCTGTTTTTAGGCACAAACCTTTCCCGGAGGTGCTGTAGGTGAGGTTTAGGGCTGTGGGGCATCTTGAGCTTCCCAGCCTTCATTTCCATCGTTCTGGATTTAGTGTTTTAATGCAATAAATTCATCCTCGTTGTTGTATTCAGTGAGGGTGGGGAGGCCCTGGCCCAGGTTGCCCAGAGAAGCTGTGGCTGCCCCTGGATCCCTGGAAGTGTCCAAGGCCAGGTTGGAGCAACCTGGGCCGGTGGAAGGTGTCCCTGCCCATGGAAGTGTTTGGAATAAGATGGTTTTTAAGGTCCCTTCCAACCCAAACCAGTCTGGGATTCCCAGTGTCTGCCAGCCCTGCTGGCTTCTACTGTCCTTCTCAGCTCACGAGCTGTGTTTTACTCTGAGCAGAACAGCTCCCTGATGTTATTTCCTTTATTTCCAGGAGGAACCCAAGCTCTGGGCCGCCGGGAACTGTGGAACACCAAGAGAGTCCTTTTCCTTACCCCTCAGATAATGGTCAATGACCTTTCTCGTGGCACCTGTCCCGCTGGGGACATTAAATGTTTGGTTATTGACGAAGCCCACAAAGCCCTTGGGAATCATGCCTACTGCCAGGTAATGCTGGAGACACCCCTTTTTCTCTCCCAGTGACAAAAACCCCGGAGTCACTTCAGGATCTCCATAAAGTGTCACTGTCACTGCTGTGGGGAGGTTGTTCCTGAGGTCCTTAACTTTGAAAGAGATCAAACACTCCTGTACATTGTCAGTGCCTTGTTTTTAAGTAATACCTGTAAGGTATTTTTTTTGTGCCTGAATTAAATTGTAATTTAATTAATCGTAATTGTTTCAAAATGTCTTTTTGACTGAGGCAATTAAAAAAAAAAGCGTGGGCTCTTTTTGTAAGGTTTTTTAACTGAGTAAAATCAGTTCAAGTTTTGTTTTTAAAACTGAGGTTTGTGTTGATCAACAAAGACTTTGTTGAATATCCTGGGTTAATCTCATAGCAGTGGGTGATGTCAAAAGTAAATTTTATATACTGGAGAAGTTGAGTGGAATATGTGTATAATACCTGTGGAGTTCAGATTTCATGGGACTTATTATCCATGATTTACTTTTTTTAAAAGAGTTGTTCTTCAGACTTCTTGGCAGTTCTCCCGAGTTAGTGTGCTGTTAACCTTTCTGTTAAATCAAGTGAGAAATCATTTCATAATTTACCAAGGTTGTTCTTGGTACACTTCCAGGATGTCCCATCCCTTGAAGTGCTCCAGTGCAGGTTGTACGAGGCTTGGAGCAACGTGGGATAGTGGGAGGTGTCCCTGCCCATGGCAGGGGGTGGGATGGGTGATCCTTAATGTCCCTGCCCACCCAAACCCTACCACGATTCTGTGATTGAATATTTTCAGAGTGTTTTGTTAAGCTTTTCCTTCTTGGTGGGTATTTTCCTTGATATAGTTTGTGTAAGGAAATAATCTCCTTCAAAGGTATTAACAGCAACTTCCCTGTTGGTAGGTTGTGAGGGAGCTGAGCAAATACACGAGCCAGTTTCGGGTCCTGGCCCTGAGTGCCACACCAGGCAGTGACACCAAGGTGAGCCAACCCCGCCTGTGTGCTTCAGACAATCACATGGGAGTAGAAACTGGGTTTAATGCCAGTTTGAACACTGTGCAAGGTACTGAAGTATGTTACAGTTCCACATCAAAACTGAATTTATTTGCAGTCTTGGCTCTTGGCTTGAGGTGTCTAAGTGGAGAGCCTTTTGTTTTCCCTCATGGGCAGTGGGTACCTTTTCCTTACAAATGTATTCAAGCCCTGCTAAACTATGGGAATAGTAATTTTTCTTTTTTTGCCTCTCTGCCAGGCTGTGCAGCAGGTTATCTCCAACTTACTGATCGCTCGGATAGAGGTGTGTGCTGAGGATTCCCCAGAAATCCAGCCTTATTCTCACGAGAGACAAGTGGAAAAAATTGTGGTGCCACTTGGGGAAGAGCTGGTAGGAATTCAGAACACTTACATCCAGGTGAGTTTGGTTTTGCTTTGTTGGTCACTGGCCAGTGACAGGAAATACATGAATGTCTCTGCCTAACTTGCTGTAGAGCATAAAAGCAACACCTTCCTATGCAGTTAACTTTGAGCACAAGGCAAAGAAAAAACATGGTCTCAACTCCACTGTGACCTTAAAAAGCTCAAGTAAAAAACTGAGAATGGAATTACTTTCCTTATCCTTCTTCAGGAGTCTTTGCAGAATTGGCACCAGACTTAAACTGAGGGTTTCTGCATTTGGCTGAATTTAGTAGGATTAAAGTATTCAGATGTTGGGAATGCCTTATGAAGTCTGTATGTGGATTTTCTGAAACATTTTCTGTGTTAGAGAATATTCTTTAGGGTTTTAAGTCATCTGTAAGTGTAATTAGTTCTCTTGATTATTTTTGGTCTTTTTTTGTTTGTTTGTTTGGGGTTTTTTTTGTTGTGTTTTGTTTGTGGGTTTGTGTTTTTTTGGGGGTTGGTTGATTTTCTTTTCTTATTATTCTGAGAGCTTTCTCCTTTTTCTTTTTTTTCCCTTCCATGTTCAAATATGGAAGAGATTTTCAGGCAAATGGTGTTACATAAGATACAGCTTTGAAAAGTTCAAAATGTGTGCTCTGTGTTTGGCAAGAGGCATTAAAAACCCTGGGATTAATTTAGTATCAGACTGTTGGCCTCAGAGTGTGGTTTTGCTTAAACTTTAATGATCTTGGTGTAGTCATGTGGAGACCACTGGCAGGCAAACCTGTGAGTGCATCAGCTGTTTTCAAACCAGTGACCTGAGAGCTATTTAAATGAGGAAGTTCCCCTCATAAGCTTCAAAGGGAAACTTTAAAGGTGGTTTTGCATCACTGCAGGTGCCTCTGAGTGCTCTGGTGAGTGCAGGGATTTATTTTGAGGTGCTTCACTTGAGATTTGTTTGGCTGCACAGCCCTTGCCTGAGTTGGCACTGTGGCTTCAGTGGCTACTGTTTCCTTGCTTTGATGTGGTATTTGCATTTGAATTGCTCCTGATTTTCCTAGAAGGTACAGTTTGTACCAACGCAGGGGGTGTGAAGGGATGGTTTGTGTTGTCTGGACAAGCCAAGCCTTAGCCTTGGAGGCCTCAGCACTCTGGGAAGTGGTTCCTGTTCCTCAGTTTCTCAAAGTGACCATTTCCAATCTGGGGCTGAGGTGGCTTTGGTAAAATCACCCCAGCAGCTTGTGCCTCCTGCTGCTCCCACCCTGCTCCAGGAGTGAGAGCCAGGGCTGCTCTGCACAGGGAAATCAGGATCTTGAGTGCTGACAGACAGGACCAGTAAACAGGACAGGTCAGTGGGGATGAAGGGCAGTGTCAAACAGCACAGTGCACCAATGCCACAGAAACTCTGTTTATGTGTGTTTACATACAGTAAGCAAGGCCCTGAGTATCACAATAGCTGGAATAAACATTTTAGGCACTAATGCTTGTTTGGAAAATACACAGTATGCAGGACAACACTCATCTGTTAAGGCTACATCGTTTAATCTTCCAAAAATGGGGGTGAATGCTGTTTTATTACCTCCTTTGGACAGGGGAGATCTAACAGCTTCAAATTAAAAATGAAAATCCACGAGTGGCTTCCAAAGGAGAGCCACGGATGGATAATAAAATACCTGTTCCCAGGTGGTCATTCTTGACATGATGTTTTGAAATTGGAGTCATAGTAATGTTTGCTTGGCATTCACTGGTGTAACAACTAAATAAACCTTGTTGTGTGCCAGTTAAAGCTGGGATTCTTGGTCCCTGTGCTCAGGAGGGCCAGTTACAGCCCCGTTCCACAGCCATAAAGTGTATCTTCAAGTGGGAGGTGAAGTAGTTTTTTTTCTCAGCAGCAGAAGCCATCTAACACGAGTCAAAATAAATAAATCCTATGTGGGAGTTCACAGTGTGCCAGAACCAGCGGGAAGGCTTGGCTGCAGTGGGAGATCAGCACACTCAGACACTGCTCCTGTCTCGGGGACAGGGAGGTTTGTGGGACCAGGAGTCACAGCAGGGCTTGGGCTGCCCGTGGGAAGGGACACCAGACACAGCAAGTGCTTTTTGCAGCAGAGGTTGAAAATGTAAACTGTGTACAAACTGCTGCTGTATGGGGGGAGGATTTCACTGCTTCCAAGGACTGTTCAGCATCTGTTGTGTCAAAGCAGTAAGATAATTTCCCTAAGTGGCAAAAGCAATCAGATTGCAGAAACCTCTTTAATTTGGCATAAAATCTTGCCAAAGGGGAAAATTACTTGTATTTCCTCTTTTAAAAGTCTTGGCAGGGGAGGGGGTTGAGGACCAAAACCTTCCTCCCTGGGCCCTCTCTTCAACTGAACTTTTAAAAGCTTTGTATTGTTTTCTATTTGCTAAGAGCTTTTAGTTTAATGCTGGCTGGCATTTTTTAATTTTCCTTTTCCCAGGCTGAGATCCTTCATTGCATTTTTGTTGGTTTGGGTTTTTTTTTTCCTCCCCATGAGGACTGTTGGTTTGTTTGTGTTAAAACTAAGGCTTTTCTCCCTCTTTTGATTTTCTTTTTCCATTTTCCCCCTCTCCTTGCTGTGTCCCAAGGAACCTCCATGCCCAGCAAGCACCAGAGGGCACCTTGGTCCCACATAAGCCAGGGCCAGCTGCACTCTGATCCTGCTGCTCAGGGAGAGGCTTTGGGTTAAGCTTAAAGCCAGTGGGAACAGGAGGCTTCAGGTTCTTCCAGAAGTACTCCATAAATCCATGCCTGGAGTTATTTTTTCACTCTGCTGGGACTTAGCAGCCACTGGCTCTGGTTGCTGGTCTGTAGGTTGTGATTAAAGAGGACAAAAGCTCTGTTTAAACCTCAGATCCTGCAATCAATAAATAATGCTGGTGATATACTCAATAAATTTTATATAAAAAGACACTTACTTCTATTAAGCATGAACTCTGCCTTCATATCAGTAGGGGGAGACATTCAGGAGGGATTTTTTGAGAGCAAAACTGTTTGCTCCCCCAGTTCTAAAGTGCAGTAGGTGCCCTTGGACCGTGTGAAACAGTGGCAATGCTGCCCTGAGCCCTTCTGCCAGGCGGGCAGCTGTCTGCCTGCAGGGTTACCCTGGGGGTGAAGGGCAAAAGAAACCAGAAGCTGGATATTAGGAAGAAAAAATTCTCTCACAGTGAGGGTGGTCAGACTGCAGCAGGGCCCAGAGGGGCTGTGGGCTCCTCATCCCTGGAGCTGCTCGAACTCCAGGCACGGGAGAGCCAGAGCAGCCAGCTCTGCCTGGCCCTTCTCTCTGCAGAGGTCACTTCTAGCTGGGACTTTTAATGTGATTCTGTGAATGTTTGTGTCAGTTATTACATTGATGGTGTGGCAAAAGGACTGAACAAATTAATTACCTCGCTGCAGTGTTTTAGCATCCAGCAAAGTCGTGAGAAAAAAGTGTTCTGAAAACTGGAGTTAAAAATAACCAGTGGCTGTTTAGGAATGCCAGAGACAGTCACGGGATTCCTGGGAGTGTGGGATTAAGGTAACCTGTAACTCTTGCTATCAAAACTTCAGTGAGCATTAGGACTGTGGTGCCTTTTTGGTCTCTTCTCCAGACTAAAAGTCCTTTGGTTGGGTGCTCTGTGAGGTAAGCATTAGGAATTTGTGTCACGGATGAGGACATCCAAAGCAGTTGGCATTGGCCTACTCTGACTCCTTGGGTCAATCCCAGGGGGCTAAATCTGGTAGTTCCCTTCAGGAACTATGACCTGGACATTCTTTTTCTGCATGTTGAGGTGGGTTTGGTGTGTTCCCACTGGCTGCCCCAGCGGGGTCTTTGTGCAGCACCGGGTGCCCAGAGCAGGAGCTCCAGGGTCTCCCCAGGGACCATCCCAAGCCACAAGCAGTCTAGGGATGCCAGCAAGTGGATGAGGGGAGAGGTCTCTGCCTGTCTTACCCTGTAAACAAAAGATAAGGTCAACTAACTTATAAAGTGCTAAAACCCTCATTAAAATTGTGTAGAGACTGTCCAAGGTGACAGAGGGGACTGTGTTGGGGTGACCTGGGCGTGGTGACTGAGCTGGGGGATTGCCTCCCTACAGGGGCTCAAAGCCCCGCTGCTGAACTCTCTGGGGTGGGGCACCTAGTGTGTGGGTGAGCTGGGAGCTGTGCCTGGGGGAGCTGTGCCTGCGGGAGCTGTGCCTGGGGGAGCTGTGCCTGGGGGAGCAGGGCAGCAGGGGCGGCTCAGGGCCGCTGCAGGAACCAGATCTCGTTGTGGCGGTTGGCGGCGGCGGGGTTGGTGTAGCCGGCGATGATGAAGGTGTCCTGCAGGCACAGCTCGGGGCTCTCCAGGATGGCTGCCAGCACACTGATCTCTCTCATGATTGAGTCTTCGTTGGTGATGCCCCTGAAGCTCCTGCAACAATCAGCTTCACGTCAGGTTCTTTTTAACATCCAGGTTTTCTGGAGCCTTCTAAATGATTTGGCTGTGTGTCACCAGTGATGCTGTGGTAGGTCTTAGCTTTGTCCCTGCCATGTCAGATGCTTTGCTCCCAACTACACAGAACAGCCTGATGCTGTTTTATCACTCATTTACAGATGCATCAGTATACCAGTTAATTCATGGGATCGTGGAATATCCCAAGTTGGAATGGACCCCCAAGGACCATCCAGTCCAACCCCTGGCCCTGCCCAGGACACCCCAGCAATCCCACCCTGTGCCCCAGAGGATCATCCAAACTCTCCTGGAGCTCTGGCAGCCTTGGGGCCGTGCCCACTGCCCTGGGGAGCCTGGGCAGTGCCAACCACCCTCTGGGGGAACAACCTTTGTCTCATATAAATTGCCCATTATTTCCAGGCAGCTTTTACAAGTTTTACCACTCGCTACCTTTTATAACTTGGTTTAAAAGGCGTGCCATGCCCGGATTGAGAGCTGCCCGTGTTGCCAGGGCAGAGCCTGCCATGCCTGACCTGCTGTAGACGATGGTGGAAGGCCACTCCTCGATGCTGATGTCCGAGTCGAAGGGGTGCGGGGGCTCGTCCTGCAGCACCTCGGGCAGGTAGTAGGCGACTGTCACCGCCTGGGTCATGGCCGACTGCGACTCGTCGGTGTGCACGATGGTCACGATGGGGATGGTGATGCCCAGGTACAGCCCTGGGGGACACAGGGGTTGTAGGAGTGTTTATGTGCCGTGCTGGGCTGCTGAACTCACGCTGAGTCCTACAAACCCCCCAGGGTTACTAACGGGATGTTTTAGGCACTGGGGCCGGGTATTCCAAGTTGGAAGCAGCAGTGAGGCCCTGGCACAGGTTGCCCAGAGAAGCTGTGGCTGCCCCTGGAAATGTCCCAGGCCAGGTTGGACGGGGCTTGGAGCAACCTGGGATAGTGGAAGGTGTCCCTGCCCATGGCAGGGGGTGGCACTGGGTGAGCTTTAAGGTCCCTGCCAACCCAAACCATTCCATGATTTCTGTGATCCTTCTGGAAAGGCTAGAGCCAGGGGGGTGGATTTGGGAAAGCTAATAAAAGCCCCCTCCCCAATTAGGGAACTAAGTGCCTAAATCTAACTGTATAAGTGCAGTGCAGAATGGTGGTGCCCATTACCTGAGGAGTTCTGCTCACAGATGTACCTCATGAGCTTCATGAAGCCCAGGCAGATGCTCTGCTCGTACTGTTTCTCCTTCATTTTTATGCAGGCCCACTTGGCCTTCCCGTACTGCCTCTTTTCATAGAGCAGATCTCCCAGCTGCAGTCACAAAGGGAAGGATTTAGGATTTCAGTATCAGCAGCTAGAAACCCCCCACAGACAAATACACCTTTAGCACCAGAGCAACTGCATCTTTTGTCAGCTGTCAGGGATGTGATCTTGAAAGGAACATGAATTTCACTCCTTCCTCAATATATCCACATATACCCATCCTTTATTCAGTATAAACACAGGAAGGGATATGCTGCTGACCTTGGACCACAGCTTATTTCAGCAGATTTCTGGGTAGTTCCCCTTCAAAATAAGGAACTGACATTTCTTGGGACTGTATTAACCATTTATTTGCAATTAACACTGAACAACCTTATTTTTTAGCTGCATTTGTTACAGTAGGTACTGAGAATTTGCTTTTCATTGCAACATAAAACAGTCAGGAGTCCCCAACTGTTCAGATGAAACATGCTCCAATTATGATATTTATAAATGTGACTTATTATTTACAAGAAATGTGACAAAAAGTCTTCATGGGTGGTTAGTAAAGGTTTTCTGGGTTTACTGATTTAAGGTGAGACCCTTGTTTGCACATTTCCTGAGCTGGAAGCAATTTGCTCCCATCCATTTGAGATTTTTATTAGAGGAGGAGATGGGTTTGCAAATTGCTGCTTTGTTTGGTAATGATCTGTGAGACAAAAGTACATCTTTGGTTTGAAATTCAGATATTAATCTCTTTCAAGTACTCTTTGCTAAGGTTTTATTCACATGACTGTGCAAAGGAGCTGATTTAAAGAACCAATTTAAATGAAGAAGATGGGCATTTTATTTCAAATGTCAAAATATGGGATGTTTTTCGTTAAATCAGTTATAAAATGTCACAAAGGCTGTAATTCTTGGCTATCTTCTGAGTTGCCTGAGAGTTTTTACTTTACAAAAAGGAAAAGTCACTTGTTAAAGGGGTGAGATGTTCCAAATGAAATGAGTTAAACAGTTACAGTGCTTTGCACTTGGGGTGCAAAAAAACCAGTTAGAAATCCTGACTGGTTAAAGGGTTGGCTAAGGAGCCAGATTTGTGGGAATGCTGAGTGGTTAAAGGGTTGGATAAGGAGCCAGATTTCTGGAAATCCTAACTGGTTTAAAAGGTTTGATAAGGGGCCATATTTGTGGGAATGCTGAGTGGTTAAAGGGTTGGATAAGGGGCCATATTTGTGGGAATCCTGAGTGGTTAAAGGGTTGGCTAAGGAGCCAGGTTTGTGGGAATCCTGACTGGTTAAAGGGTTGGCTAAGGAGCCAGGTTGTGGGAATCCCAAGTGGTGAAAGGGTTGGCTAAGGAGCCAGGTTTGTGGGAATGCTGACTGGTGGAAGGGTTGGCTAAGGAGCCAGGTTTGTGGGAATGCTGAGTGGTGGAAGGGTTGGCTAAGGAGCCAGGTTTGTGGGAATGCTGAGTGGTGGAAGGGTTGGCTAAGGAGCCAGGTTTGTGGCAGTGAGGTGTGAGTGCCCAGCCCAGCTGGGAGGGCAGCAGTACCTTTTCCTTGCGCTGGATCAGGGTGAAGGGGATGGTCTGTCTCTCCTGGGGGTTGTTATTCCTGGTCAGCTGCTGGATTGGCTCTGCCATGTCTGCAACACAAGGACACAGATCCCACTTCAGACTTAAAGATGCAAAAATTAGACTGAGATGTGTTGATTCCTTCTCTTAGTTAAGCTCTGGGGACTTTGGAACCAATTTCGTTTGCTCTTCACTAGGAAAGGAAAGAACTTCTCTTAGGAAAGGTTCCCTGGCTCCTGCCTCTGCACCCTTAGGAAAAGGTCTCCCTCTCCCACTCCTCATATTTGCAATTCCCCAAGTTTTCTGGGCCAGTTTCTGGCTCTGTGCAGGTGACATCCCCAGCTCTGGTAACTCTCCTGGTGTTGGAATCCTGTGGATCCACACGAGGTAAATTGGCTTGGCTGCTCCTGGTCACAGGCTCAAGGGAATAGTGCTGTGGAGACTCATTTCCTACAGGTGTTTAATGTCTAATATTTTACCTTAGAGTCTGATGTTTGTGCATTTACTTTTTGTATCTACCTATATCTCTCTATAGAGATAAAAATATAAGTATTAATAGTTCTTAAAAGAAGTAAAATGCATCTCTTTGGTACCTCTCTGTTTCAGTGCATTATTAGTCAGGACATATGTTGAGTGCAAGGCCTGTGTTGTTGCTGTTTCCAGCCCAGCTCCAGGGGATAAAAGGAACAAATAAATGATAGTTCCATAAATAAAACTGGCATTTTCTAGGACTTCTGTTCTCCTACAGTTCAGCCATTTCAGCGTGGTTGGATTAGGTGTATTTGTAACTGTGGTTGTCCTGACATCAATCCTGGCTGAAGTTCCTAAATAAACTCTGCTTAGGGGTTGATCCCTGACAGACAGGCTTGGAAGCTGTGGATATAAGGTTAGTCTGAGGTATGGGAAGCCTCTCTTCCAGAGGACTTGGTCCCTTGCCTTCCAAAGCTGAAGTGAGAAAGGCATTTGTGTGCTTTGATAGAGGATTAGAAATTCAGTTTTCTGTGCTTTGAAAGCCTGGGTGTGGATTTCTGCCCTGCTCCCTCATGGGTGTGCTGGACATGCAGGAAAAGGACACATTCCAGCTGGAAGAGCTCTCTTCCTGGGTGTTTTAAGTGCCTCAGGATCTTAAGTGGAAAAGGCAGGATAATGGGGGAAGAGAGCATTATCCATGTTTCAGGGAAAAGGAGAATTAAGATGCAGGAGAATTAACTTGGCCGAGGTCACTTGGTAAATCTGTAGCTGAGCTGGGAATCAAAGCTCCATGTCCTGACATCCAGTGCAGGGCTTTAGCTTTAAGACTATTTGGAACAGTAAAGATCTTTAAACAAAGGGGAGGGAAAAAATAAAGGTGAGGAAGCTACATTAGAGATAATTTGAAACATTTTTTTTAAGTATGTAACTGAGAAACATTAAAAATGTAACTAATAACTGACATATAAAATTGATCTCTTTGGAGGCTGAGGAAAAAGTAAAAAGTACATTAGCCTTCAGCACTTAATTTTCCAAGAATTAGGAAGCATTTTAGGACTCAAGAAAAGTTAACTCTATTTTTAGATCACTTTGCTGATAAATGGGTGGGCTGTACTTTTTCCCTCCATAAGAATGCACAGGATAGGGATTGCAGTTAAAGTCCTTCTGGGAGTTTTCTCCCTCAGCTGGTGAATTTGTGCCTCCTGTTGCCTGGGTGTGGAGGGCTCTGCCTGCCCGGGGCCAGGCTGGCAGGGAGCAGTGGGACAGGAAAGCTGGGTTTGCTGCAGTCAGGGCTGCAGGGACCCCAAGGCCCACCCAGCCCAACCCCTGTCCCTGCCCAGGACACCCCAACAATCCCCCCCTGTGCCCCAGAGGATCATCCAAACCCTCCTGGAGCTCTGGCAGCCTTGGGGCCGTGCCCACTGCCCTGGGGAGCCTGGGCAGTGCCAACCACCCTCTGGGGGAAGAACCTTTCCCTGAGATCCAACCTGACCCTGCCCTGGCACAGCTCCAGCCATTCCCTGGGTGCTGTCCCTGTCACAGGGAGCAGAGAGTGAAGAGAGGTGGCCTCTCCCAGTGCCAGGGGATTCCTCCTCCTGGAAAGTCACCTCCATTGCCTCCACAGGGCCCTGGGCAGGACCTGAACAAAGACCTTCTGTTACTCTGGATTACTTTTTATAACATTTGCTGAGTGTCACAGAGCAACCCTTCTATAACACAGCAAGTGGAATGTGGTCAAATGCTGCTTTGGATGTATTTCCTGGGCTCTGTATCCTTCCTGGTGGACCTTAGGAATTTCAGTGCAGGGGTTCACAATGTATCACACCACCAGGGAATTCTGTGGGAAGGAGTTTGCTGCTGCTCTAAAGGAGCCCTTTGGCCTCCAGCTGTTGATGCTGCACTCGGGGTGTTAAATGGGGATCTCCCTCCTCTCCCCCTCCCTCCTGCCCTGTGGATTTGATGTGCTGATTCCAGACACAACCCCGGGGCTGCTGGAGTGTGTGTTGAAACTATGGGATGGCACTGCTGGCACAGGGCATCCAGAGACCCCTCTGAGGGCACTGAGAACAAGGCAAGGCAGAGAACTCTGTTCAGACTCATCTTACCCTTCTTTTAGCATGTTAATTTTCAGTGTTAAACCACTACGAAGTTAAGATGAGACTTCAAGGTACGAATTGAAAAGGAGCTTGGACTCTCTTTGCTGCACTGAATTACAGAAGAGTTGTTAAATAGCAATAATTTCATTTTGTCTAGAGCAGTCTGTTGTTCAGGGTTTTCTGGTTCCCACCGTGGGGAAGGACAGCAGAGATGGTTCAGATCTCTCTGATTCTCTGAGCAGTTACAGTTTCTGGTTGAGCTGAATTTGCAGTGATCTGCTGCTTGTTTGGAGTTACCTGACTTGTTACAGTCTTTCTTAAAATTGAAAATGAGCAATTTGTGACTAAGATAAGCCTGGGAGGCTCGCTGTCAAAAAAGCAAAGTTGATCCTTTTACTTGTTTACCCTGTACCATCTTTAAATACAACCATCTTTTTTGAAGCACTGACAGGAGCTATTACAAACAAGAATGCTTTTGCAGGTAGCAAATATTCAATATTTAATTAGGACTGCAAACTCGCCTTGATGCTTTTCAGTAGGAATAGGTCACCCCGGTGCCGCTACAGCTCTGGGAACCTCTGCATCGCCCCGGGCGAAGCTTTAGCTCTCTTAGTCCCGGACTCGGGGTGTCCCAGAAGCTGCCCGGGTGCTCTGGCCGTGCCCTGTGCTGTCTCCGCGCTCCCAGCCCGCTCTGCAGGGCCGGTCCCGCCCGCCCGCTCCGGAGCAGCCCGGCTCCCTCCCGCTCCCTAAGCGGCTTATCCCGCTTACCGCGGGGCACGTCCACCTGGTGCCCCCTGCCCACGCTCTGCCAGTAGCTCAGCAGCCGCTCCTGCTCCTCGTCGTCCGTGCGCTCGGCCGCCTCCTCCTCCAGGGAGCTGCCGTGGCTGTGGTACGCCGAGTCGGGGCTCTCCTCCAGCCCGTCCAGCTCCTCCAGCGTGATCGCCGCGGGCCCCGCGCCGCCCATGCGGCACCCGCCCGTCTCCATGGCCTCAGCCGGGATGGCACCGCTGCCAGCGCCCGCGGCTTTATCAGGGGATCGCCCTGCCCGCGGATTTGGGGGCGGGAGCGCCCGCCTCTGCCCGCCCAGCGCCGGGGCAGGGCCGCCCGGGCGGTGCGGGGATGGAGGGAGGGAGAA